TCATCGACTTTTTTTTTTTCCTGAAGAAGGGAATGAGCCCTGCAAGAGAGCGCGTGGTGGTGGGCTTTCTTTTGGCTTTTTTTTATGTTACTAGGAAGGAAGCGCTGCAGCGGTTTGGCTGTAGCTCAAATGGCCTTTAATTAAAGCTTTTCTAATCATCATTACTTCCTTGTGCATTAAATGAACTTGACATTGTCTGTAATAGGCTTGTTTGTCAAAAATTGGGTTGTGATTTATTTTTTAATATATATTCCTTCAGAATGTAAAATTATACTAACCACTGGGAAACTCTGGACCTGGGTATTAGTTCTAGCTTGGTGTGTGTCCATCTCGGTTCCGTGCACAGCATTAACCTGTTAAGTGCTCTTGGCCATACCGTGTACACTCGCATAAAGGAGATTCTTAACATCCCTCGAGATGTTTTGTGTCCTTATTTGGGGCTGGAGAGAATTAAAAGCCAAATCCCTCCACTGCTGAAGCTGCAGTGAGGCAGAGGGTTAGAGCTGCTACCAGTGAGGTTGCAGGTTAATCTGTTTTTAAATCCCGCTTTTATGGGCTCGTGCACTTAGTTTGTATTTGCGGGGAACAGAAGTGTAAATATTTTGCACAGAAGGGACAGGAAGCACAACGATTGCCAGTATTTCTCTTAACAGAGAAAGTGCCCCGTTTCTCGTGCCTGGGGAGTAACGTGGACAAAGCCTCGCTGTCGGGGGGGCAGCCGGGTATTTTCCATACTCGCAGTTTCCGAACAAGGCATCACGTCCCCCTGTGCCCGGCAGCGCCAGCGTAGCCGCCCTTAGCTCGCCGTAGCAGCTGTCCCCAGAAATGCCCGCGCGGGGGGGGGCACCTCTTGTTAAATACCTTTATTCTGCTTTTCTTCTATAAATAAACGCTTACAGTTGGTGGAAGCGTCCGTAAAAATGTCTTTATTCGACCCAGATCACTTCAGGGGTAATCGTCTTCCGTGCTACAGGCTGTGGGACAGCGCTGGCAGGGTAACGCCCTCGTTAGCCTAATGAACTGGCGTTAGCCAGGCTGATGCCCACCACTGCCCCTTCCCAAAGCAGAAGGGACACTACCAGCGCTCATCCAGCAAATTAACAAAAACCTTAATGCAGGTACTACCAGTGGAACAGGAAATAACGAAGCCTGCTGCCCATGATGTTTTGGGACATCGTTAGATAAGGTTTATTAAGAGAAATCTAAAAAGCGAGGACTAATACAGCATTAAAAGCGTTTTTATGCAGCCCCCTCCATCCCCGCCAGGAGCTGGCGCTGAGCCGCGTGTCAGAGCGTCTCCTTCACCCAGTGACACAGAGGGGGACACAACCAGGTGGTTCCGGGGGTGGAAGTGTATTTGCTGCCTTGGGGCGTTGCTAGTAGAGATCACAGAGTAAAAATCTGTAGTATACTCTCACAAATTAAAAATACACATATATATATATATATAAAAAAAAGGATCACTGCCTATAAAATTTTAAATTCATAGAAAGCCTCCAGTGACACGACAATATAGGAATTTACTTGCATTCGGATGAGTAAGTACTGGAGTGCACAGTAGTAGTGCGTAGCGTGCTAAACATGGCTTCCTAAGTGGTGGATCACTTTTCCTGTGGCTCCTCAGGTGCTGGGCTCTGGGCTTTTGCCTAAAGGGAAGGGGGGGAAACATAAAAATGGTGTTTTCAAAGAGTCCCGATAACGAGCAGTCACTGAACCCCTCGCTGAAGCAGGAAGGGCTGTAAAATAAGCTCATAGACAAAATGGTCACAAGAAGAGGCAGCTGGGTGGTCACTGAGGCACCCCCCTGCGGGGTGACAGCCAGGCACTGTCCTCTCCGTGGTGTCTAGTCCGTGCCCACCGAGGCAGCGGAGCCCCTCTGCCGCACTGCCTGCCTTACCTTCGCGCTCCTGAAGCGGGTGGCACCATCCGCCGTCCTGAGGCTCCTTCCTCCTCCAGTGCCAGTGCTGTAGAAAAGAAGAGGGACGCTTTCAGAAGAAGCGAGCCTACCGATTTCAGGGCGGCTGCTGAATAAACAGGGTCCTTCACGCCAGGGAGCCTTTGAAGGTGCAGGAGGAAGCCCTTCGCTCTTCTCTGAAGCCTGCCCCAGTTGGTTTTGTAGCAGACCCAGATCCTATCCAACTGCCTCCGGGCATTTCGATAACACGCACTCACGTGGCATTACCCTACTTTGCCTCCCGCTGACTGTCCATTCTGATAGAAAAGCCGCAGTTTGCTGTTTGAAACTCGGGTAAGCAGCAGCCAAATTAAGCAGAGCGGAACCCTTTGAGCCACAGGCAACTATGAGGCCATCCAGGTTCGTGCCATAAGGAACCGAGGCAGAGGACTGGACTGACTGGTCGCTGCTGCTGCGGGTGGGCTGCTGCCATCTGAAGGTCAGAACGCACCAGGCCGAAGGCTGCGCCCCCACCTTCAGCAAAGCCAAAACCTGCTCCTGCAGCGCTGCTGAGCCCTCGCCCTCTGGGACAGGCCCCGGGTGGCTGCTTGGAAGGGAAGAGAAAGGCATTACCTTGGTTGGGCAGGAGACGCTCTCAAGAAACTGGACATGAAGGCTTCCGAATCGAAGTTCTGAGTAGGTCTCGCACGTGGCGTTGTCCCACCTGCAGATTCGGTTGCACCTTTGTTCTTCGATCGTTCCTCACTGCCAGCCGCCCTCCGGGGCTTCCCCTTGGAGTCTGGAGCGTCACTAGCTCTCAACGAGGAGCACAATGGCGTGTTCCTGACATTTGCCGAATTACTCAGTGACTTGGTCCCTCCTGCAGGATAGCTGAGCCTCTGCTGCCCAAAGCCGCCTGCGCACCAAGGAGAAACATCTCCTGAGAGGATGAGAATACAGCGCTTAATAGGAAGAGTAAATGCAACCAAGATCTTTGGGGATAAAAGGTTTCAGTGATTTAATCTTTCTTGTGTAAAACTAGACCAATGGTGGGGGAGTGATGATTTTTAAATTTTGGAGACCAAACAGGGTAACAACGTTATTCAGCTTGGAACACGAAAAACAAATGTAAAGGCTGAGAGCGCGCCCGAGGCTGTGTTCTGCCCACACCTTGATGCCTGACGCGTCTCCGAGCCAGCTCTGGCGATTCTCTCCTCTCCCTAGCGGCTTGAGGCGGCGGCACCTGCTGGCGTGGAAAGCTGGCGGCTGGGCGCAGGTCGCACTGGTGCTAAAGCAAAACACAGATGTGAGTGTTTAAATGACAGCTCATACGAACCGACTGCTGTAAAAACACTGCAGAGCATCACCCCTCAGATTCAGGTTAGTAGGGAACCGAGTTCAGGAAGAGGCAGCTATTGCTTGTTGACAGCCACGTTTTCTCTTACAGAGCGCAGGAATAATCACGAGCTCTCGCAGGACCCAAGGAAAAAGACGAATCTGGCAGCGTGAGCCAGTCCTGCTGCACAGACCCCGCCTGTACCCAGGGCCTCACTGCCAGGCAGCCAGCAACCATAAGGCCTCTTGTTCAGCCTTCTGCCTCCCGCGCCTAAAAACGACCCTGAAAGCCAGGCCCAAGGGGAAAGCAGCCCTGAAGTACCATCACTGTACTTCTGATCCAGTTCCCAATATCAACCTGGTATCAGTGCCATCAAAAAAAGCAAATCCAAGGACAAAAAAAAAAAAAATCAAGTTAAAAGTGACTTCCAAGGCATGCTGCCCCCAG